AGTAAATCCTTTTGATAAATATTACTTAATAACCCGAGTACTAAAAATTATAACCAACCTGCTATCACAAGTTAAATTACACTTAAAAGTGTCAAAATTTTACTCTCGTAATGTATATAACTTAAATTATATATAGGTAAGTAAAAGATATGCATATAGGTTAAGTTAGGGGAAACATGCATGAAAAGCAATTGTCGAGATTAGACTTTGTTTAAACGTTAAGAATGTTCGTTTCTTTCTGTAAGCAAAAAGAAAAAAAAAATTACACAAAACAACAGTAATGCAAAAGCTTGGAAAAGTGATCTGATGAAAAGCCGTTGAGCTATGATCACAAAAGTAGCAAGAATTGGAAATTATTATGATCTCTCAAGTCTCATCCCCAAGTCTTTTCTCATTTCCCAAGGTTTCTTTGATCATTTTTATTTTATACTTCGCTTCTTTTCTGCCTTTTCTTTTAGTTTTATAAAGAATGCTTGTTGTTAAAAGAAGAGACCAGGTGCCATATATCTCTCATTTATAAATTTCTTTTTTAGTTTACTTTTACACACTCATAGTGTAAAGTTCTTATATCATCACTTAACTTAAAATGTTATTTGTAAATAATTTTATTTAATATGCATTATTTGGTAACTTATAATAAATGGTAAGTAACATGTTACAATATGTTAAATTACACTGATGAGGTAAAATATCTTAGATTGTCAGTGTATAATACTTAAACTCGTTGTTTATTTCTAGTCAAGAGCTTTTGAATTTACTAAAGTTTTATTTACCTTATATTTTTCATTTAGACTTCCGGTTCTTTTTGGGGGGATTGCATATATATCCAATTTTCGGGTCATAATTGAAGTTATACCCATTTTGCAAAAATATTTGCAAGCTTACCCACTTTATGATCAACTTTAGACTTATCGGATTTGAAGTTAAAAAAAGAAAATTAGTCTGAAGTGCAATGCACTTAAGGTCAATTAAGTCTAAAGTGCAAAAATTACACTTAAGATGCACTTAAGGCCAAATAGGTCTGAAGTGCAATAAATATTTTCATGCACTTGAGGTCAGAGAGGTCAGAAGTGAAAACATTGCACTTCAGATGCACTTAAGGCCAAATAGCTCTGAAGTGCAACCAATGGTTTTATGCACTTAAGGCCAAAAAGTCTGAATTGAAAAAATTGCAATTCAGATGCACTCAAGGCCAAATAGGTTTGAAGTGCATTGGTTTCATGCACTTAAGGCCATTAAGTCTGAAGTGAAAAAATTGCACTTCAGATACACTTAAGACCAAATAGGTCTCAGGTGCAATCAATATTTTCATGCACTTAAAGTTAAATAGGCCTGGCCTGAAGTGCAAATTGCCTAGAAACAGAAATTTATTTTTCGAATTTTAACAATCCAATATATGATTTAAGACCTAAATCTACTCCAGATGAGCTCAAATTTGAAATGTGACCTCCAAATATCATCAAGAACAAACCTCAATCATCCGTTTGTCAAAACAACAATAAATCTAACGAACCCATTTTGCAATTAGGAAAAAGAAGAAGAAGAAACCCTAAGCAATGGTAAAAAATAAAGCGTCACATCAGCTTACCGCTGTAAAACATCATAAACTACCTCAAAATATGTTCACAAACACCATATAAAATCATTGTCACCTGAAGAAGAAAAAGATCAAGAAAGAGGAGAAAAATGTCTGAAGTTGTTTAAACTTTAGGTACTAGTTACAAAAAAAATTAAAAAGTGCATATAGGTTAAATAGGGGCGACCAAATAAGACGTCCCGTGCAAATTTTACTTCTTTTTGGAGTCTCATGTCCCTTAGTCTGGGGTTAAGCTAGCAAAGTCAACCAATGGGCTTATTCTGCACAATAGACGGACACTATCCACTCAAAATGAGTTAGGCCCAGCCCAATTACGTGTGGTGTAAATTGTATGTAATTTATTCTTAGTTGTTAAGGGATAATCTAGCTTTTGCTGTGGCATATTTTAGGTTAGTGTTCATATTAGTTTGTTGAGATAAATTTTGATCATTAGTCTACTATGTTTTTCTGTGTTTTCATGTTGAGAGTCACGAAAAATGCAAAAGTCAGGGTCAGAATGTTTTCTAAGAATTCATGTGGAGTAGTTGTGTTTAGTGTCTGCATATGAGTTAAATATGCTGTTTTAGTTTCCATATCGAAAAGTTTCATTTGGGAAACTATTCAGAGTTGTTTGTGACACTTAGTTTTCTACTGATTATGAATCTTTAAGACATCAATGACACTTTGAACTAAATCAACCATTGACAGACATACTGTATAAATAAATAAAAATAGCCTATGCACGAAATATCTTGTATTTACGCAGGTTCATTGAAAATTGCATCCCAAGGGGGTTTACTGTAGGTAGGGGTGGCAATTTGAGCCTAAACCCATCTAACCCGCCCAACCTGCCAAGAAATCAATGGGTTGGGTTACAAACATTTTAGCTCATGGGTCAATTTAGGTTGAGCCTAAATTAACCCATTATATTTTAGGAATTTTTACCTCATATATTAAAGGTTAACACCTTATTTATTTTAAATAAATACCATTTAAAAAAATTATATTCTATAGATACCTTTTAATGTTTATAGCAAAATATCTAATTTTGGTTACCTCCTACCCCTAAGCCGCTAAATACGTTATTCAGTTACACTATTTTCTTTCTCTCTCTACTTTGATACATGTCATTCTCTTCCCCCATTCCCTGAAAGCACGATGCTCAATCTCAAAATTCCTCTCACCAATTCAAAGTTGCCGTTATGCCTGGCCCAGTCTCGAACAAGTATCGGGTTTCAGAGCAGTTCCAGTGTAACAATGGTGGAAGAAAATTTGCGTATACACACGTTCATCGAAATTCCGTCGCCGGAGATATTCTCTTCTCAAATTGAACCCAAAAATGTCCCAGCGGTGACTTCTCTAATTGAGAAAATATACCTATAGCAGTATATACACACAATACTACATTTGTGCGGATGTGCTCAACAATGTTTTCTTTTTGTTGGGTTTAGGTTTTCAAGGGATGCATAAAGCATTGGAAGGCTTTCTCAAAATGGAACCCGTCGGACGGTGGCCTAATACAAAAAAGGCTAATCTTTTCAATCAAACTTGAAGCCCTGGTATTCAATTAATCGCGATGAAGAAGAAGATTTCTGTTAATATATTTCAATGTATTTTCAACGTATCACGCTGTATTTTCATGTATTCACTATTTTTTTTCATTGTAATTCAATGTATCTCGACGTATTCCATGTATTTCATTGTATTCACTGTCGTTTTTTTCATTGTATTTTAATGTACCCCGTTGTATTCTATATATTTCATTGTATTCACTGTCTCGCTATATGCCATGAATGTATTCATATATTTTTTTAATTAATATAATTTATGTGTTCAGATATATTATATAATTTCTCTGAAGATTGCTATCTTTTTGTGGTATTTTTCGGTTGAGAATCTTTTTTATAACTGGAAATACAAATTTTGTGTGTTATAATTGAGTTTGTTGAGTTATATTAGGGGTCTATTATGTTAATTGATTCACTTTCCGTTTAAAAACAGTGTAATCCCCTGTTTCACGCCGTGAATACAGTCGAATACAATAATCCGTCCAGCTGTAATCCCATGTTTCACACTATGAATACAGTCAAATACACTCGAATACAACAACTGATTAGCTTGACTTCCCTGATTCATGCCTATTTTTGCTACTGTATTCATGAATACAGTAGCTTAAATACATCTAATACATCTTATAACAACAGAAAACGTATCTACAATCCGTAATATAGCAAATGGTATCTATAGATAGCTAATTACCACTAAAAGATAGTGCTTTATGAAGATTTCTCTATATTTTATAGTTCATTCTGACCCATTAAGTAGCCCAAATACAACCCATGAAACACACCCAAAACAAAAAGGTATCTCAACCCAACTTATACAGAAATTTATTTAGTTGCTCCAATTTTACTCTTTTTTATATTTTGAATTTTATGTTTTTTTGTTTTTCTGCACCATCCACCCCCCTCCTTCCAAAATTGTATTTTCAATATTCTGTTTTTGTTTCTGCACCATCCACCCCCCTCCCACCCCACACCCCCTGCAAAACCCCCTCCCCTTAAAAAATAATTTTTTTACTTTTTTTTTTGTATTTTTAATTTTCTATTTTTTTTCACCACCCACCCACCCCACCCTGCCCTTCCCCCCCTCAAAATTTTTTTTTTTACTTTTCTTTTTCGTATTTTTAATTTTCTGTTCATTTTTTCTGCCCCACCCCACCACCCGCAAACCCCTAAAAAAATTTTACTTTTTTTTTAATTTTTAATTTTCTATTTTCTGTTTTTTTTTTCATTTTTCTATATCACCCACCTGCCCCAACCCCCCCACCCCCAATTTTTTTTTCAACTTAGACATTTTAAGGTAAAAAGTTATTTTTATGCAAGATGAGCATGGTTCTAAAATATGGGTCAAGTTGGGCGGATTGGGTTATGACCCATTGTTTAGCCCATCTTGACCCAACCCATCTTAGCCTAAGTACATTTTGGGCTGGGTTGGGCAATGACCCATTTATTGACCTAACCCATCTTGACCCGTCCAAATTCAGCCCAACCCGCCCATTTGCCATCCCTAACGGTAAGTTATTCTGACACAAGCACAAGTGACTCATTCTATAACTCAAACCTATGATCTATAAGTCAAAGTCAAACAGAGACTACTTGACTATTACTCAAAAGCTTGCTTTATTGACATCCACACTATCTAGATCCAATATTTTTATAAAGCTACTAGGTGAATTAAACTTGAACAAAATAATTCGGTGTCTGTATCTGATGAACAAATTTTAGTTTGCAAACAACAAAAATTAGAGCAGAATGGTGAAGAAATATTAACCTTGCAAATCAGAAAATGGTTATCTTATCCAGCACAAAAGAAAAAATACGAAGGGCAGCCCGGTGCACTAAGCTCCCGTTATATGTGGGGATCGAGAAAAAACTGGACCACGAGGATCTATTGTAAAAATAAAAAAATATATGACATGAAATCAAACATGGAGTAGTATCAATGAGAAAAGATGTGAGCCAAAGTTACAATAGGTAGATAACCAAAGTTCTACTTGTTTCTTGATCCACCCCAAATTGACTTCCAAAAAACAGGCCAATTCTTCTTAGCTTCATTCCAACCCAAGAGTGAACCTTCCCTATATGGATCCCAACTAGAGGAAACTATACCATAACTAACTCCCAATAAGGCAGTCCCAAAGAAAATAAATGACACAATAAAGGGTATCCAAGTTGGCACATCAATCTTTAATCCAACCTTAAGATAATAAAAGAAAGGAAAAAACAATAAACCAATGAACAAAGGGATACCAACTGAAAGTCCAATTCTGCTTATCATTCTATTAGTCACTATTTCTGGTATAACTCCTCCTTCTTGTTGCTCATCATCTTCATCTTCCTCTTCTTCTTCATATTCTTTTTTTGGTTTCTTGAATTTTTTGGTTTTCTTAGGTCCAAAACCTTTTGGAGAATTGAGAGTGGCAAAGAGAGGTGATAAATGAGATGGAGTTTTATGTAGTTGTTTGGATTTAGATAATGGGAATTGAAGGAAGTGTTTGTTTGAGGTTAATGGAGGTGGGAATTGTAAGGGGGACAGTGCTAGTCTTGGAAATGAACATGTTTCCATATTTTTTCTTCACTACCCTGCTCTTTACAATCTCTTCAGTTTTGACATTGTTCTAATTGGTTGGTGGTCATGCCTTTGTTCTACATTTTGAGAAAGCTTATCTATAGCTTCAACCATCTTGAAATTACTATATGGCCCCTGCCGTAAGTTGATTCCAAAATCTCAAAATTAAAGAGCTGTAAGCTTTGAAAGAAAATATTTACCGTTACACCTTATATACTCCATATCTATATCTATATATATATATATATATATATATATATATATATATATATATATCACTGAATTTGAATTAAAGAATATTTTTGAATTTATAGATAAAGTTTTTAAATTTGATGAAATTTATCTTTTTTTTTTGGTCAAGTTATCATACTTAATTCGATTAATGATCATGTGCAATCATGCTAGGAATTTTTGTTATCTTTTCTGATAATTTAAATACTAATGCGCATGTGAAAAAAAAACTATCCATATAACTATAAATCTCTTTCGCACTTAAAACCCTATAATTATAGTTCTTTAAAACAGTATAGCTAGATTTGAATAAATCGAATTTCTTTTAAAATAAATGTAACATACAGGGTACACGTCTATGGTTATCTAGATAACAAAAAAGAGTTTAAAAATCGAATAAAAGTTAACTTACATATATAATGAAGTAAACCTGCATGCTGGAAAAAGAAACATCACAAAAATCGGTCAATATTAAAAAAAAAAAAAATTTTTTTTTCCTTTTTGAAAAACGTTTGTTTGAAGAGTCAATTTGTATAAATAGACATCAAACAAATAACAAAATTTTGTCTATACATTTGCTATCATTAATTTTAATTTAGCACCTACTAGGAATTGAAGGGTATAAGCTGAAACCTCTTCATTTAGCTGCAGTCAAGCCAGCATTGCAAGGGTTTAATATTTTTTTGTTGAAGAATATCAGATTTGAATCACTAGATTATGTGAAATTATTTTTCTCAAATTCAACAAGAGAGGCATTGGTTTATAATTGATAGTTTCTATAGCAACTTTCAAGCGTAACAAAAAGTATATTAAAAAAAAAAACTGGTATGACACTATATATTTTTTTAAAATGTAAATAAATTATTTCAAAATGGGATTATTTTTAAAATATAATGTAATTTTCAAAATAAAAGGATAAGATATTTTTGAATTTTAATAGAGTTTTTAAATTATTATAATAGAAGTCATATCATAGATAAAATTAAGAAATTGAAATCTTATGGAATATTTACATAAATATCTGGCCAGATTTATTACTTTTTATAGCTAATATCCACAGATGATATACTGGCAACACATAATTATACACATATTATATATAAATTACACATTCTTCAAAATTTTTTAATTTAAGTGGTAAGGCGAGCACTTATTTTGGTTGATTAGAAAAGCCAAAAGAAAAATATGGAAGAATTTCAACTAAAGACTAAATATATAGATAAAGTTCTTATGTAGACAATTTCTATTTAAACTCATACTTTTATAGAGAAATAAATTAATTTTTTGTAAAAAAAAAAAAAAAAGACATAAAAAATAAGATAAAAGAAAATAAATATAGAAAAAATGTATGAAAAATCTAAAAACCAGAAATATGAGATAACAACGAATTTCTTCTTCTGTTTCATCTATGTTAAGTATAAAAAATTTGGAAGTTGATATCATCGATTTTAATTTTTTTTTTTCAACTCAAATACATAGATTATAAGACAAGGATATCTTAGAATATTTTTTTTAATTTACATTGTGTGTCATTTTTAAAAAATTACTATTACTAACAAACTGATATGATATCTGAATTTGAATATAAATGCAATTTAAGTAATTTGCATTGAGGTTAAGCCAAGTATGATGTCGAGAAAAAAGTACTTGGTAATTTCAAGACAATATATGCAATGTTATAATAACAGTCAACTAATTTAACTTGGCAGAAATGTGGATAGGCACATGGAATCGATATTGGCCATAAGAGTTTATTAGTGTTTATTTCTGAAGCCAACAAGGACGCGCATCATATTTCCTATTACCAATCAGAATGTAACAAAATTTCGATCAATTTCAAAAATGTCCCAATACCGCTCCCTCAGCACTACTGAAGTCTCCAGAGAATTGCAGTGAGAATCCGCTTTTGCGCACCCTTTCATTGTAAACCTTAATCTCTTTACTTTCTGTGCTCTTACTTTCTGTCCATTTCATTTCTTGTTGTTGCTGGCTACTTTGAGGTTTCATTGTTTAAACAAGGTTTTTGGGGCTCTTCTGTTCTTGGCGTTTCCCTAATTTTCAAGAGTATAACTTGTATTTTTTCACTTAATATTATAGGGTTTATCTGCTAGAGGTGTTAACAAAATCTAATGGTAGTTTCTGGGTTATGGAAGTTAGTGGCAGAGGCAGAAATTCGGATAAGAGAATTCAAAAAAATGCAAAAAAAATATTATACCAAGAAGCTTCCCTTAAGGATTTAACATTTTATATGTATACAAAGATATCTAGTGGAGGCAAAACAAAGTAAGTGATTTATTCCCATCTATCTAAGCCGTAGCGGGTAGAGTTACTCGATACCTATATTAGTATGAGGTAGCAGGTACCTAATAGAATAGTCGAGAATAGTTGAGGTGCGCGAGAGTTGGCCTGGACACCACCGTCATACAAAACGATTTGTTTTTACTCTACTTGTTTAGGTAGAATGTTGGGATGCAATTAAACCTCCTTCCTTACCTTTAGCTCCGCCACTTATGGAGGGGCTCGAACAAAACTGGGAATAAAGGGGTTAAATTTCTGGTTTAACTTTCAAGTTGCTAAATGGATCCTTTTTTACCACAACTTGATGGCTAACTGGGATAAATGGGAAGAATTAGTACAAAAATGAGAAAGCATAGAGCCTCCAAAGAAGTAAAATAAAATTCCACAGTGTGTTCCACGCTGTTAGAAAGCTTTCATAGGATAACTTCACAAATGGCATTCTTTTAAAAGAAAACGGGGAGCTCGGTGCACTAAGCTCCTGCTATGCTCTGGTCTAGGAAAGGACTAGACCACATTGGGTTTGATGTATGCAGCCTTACCTTATATTTCTAAAAGAGGTTATTTCCATGGCTTGAACGTGTGACCTACTGGTCACAAGATGGCAACTTTTACCGTTGCGCTAAAGCTCCTCTTCAAAGGGTGTTCTTTCTCAAAAAAAAAAAAAAAAAAATAATAATTCCCACATGGCGTAAAATTGACCCAGTTCCCTGAAGATAAAAGCCTCTCCAGAGTTGGGATTTTTCATTTTGGTAATCTTAAGTTATCTCTCAAAGTATTCGTAGACTAATGGGCTTGTAATTGTAGGTAGAAATGATTATAAAGGGCCTGCTGAGGAGATATGAAAGATGGAATCCAGTGCATCCTACATACGGAGCCTTCTGGGGCATGGGAATAGGTATTGGCTGTGGTGTGGGATGGGGTCCCGGATTTGGTCCTGAGGCAATTGGTTATGTTGGAGCTGGCTGTGGTATTGGATTCAGCGTTGGCTTCTCTCTGCTCGGCATTGGCATTGGCCTTCCTACCAATTACATCTATACAGTTCCTTACAATGGTAAAAATGACCAACTGTCATATGAATTGGACATTTTAAGTTTTCTGTTTCTTTTTACTTGTATTTGATTGATATCTGTTGTTTGAGAATTAGAACTGGTGTGATGAGTTCGTCCATTAATGCACTTATATATTATTTCATAGCCTTCACAGCTACCAGAAGTGGTGCTATAGATATGGCTCGATCCACTGGTATACTAAGAGAGAGTCGGTGTTACCTCGATTCAAACATTTCTGGCTTGCAAGAAAGGGCTCTGCGGACTTTTTCAAGCTTAAGGGTCAAAGAATCGTTAGGGAAGGTGGTAGATTTGTCTGAAATGGGGACCAAAATGTCCTTTCCCAATCAATGCATGGATCGTCTAAAACAAGGCATCAATGGCTTACTTCATCCCTGCAAAGGTATGATATGCCTCGCAAATGAAAGTAGTACCATCATATTGCAATTTAACCATGATTAGACTTTTCATGCCACTTTGTTCTAATTCCTAAAATTGTGTAATATTGATCTTAGATAAATGTTCTACTTCTTTAGAATTGAAACCTGGAGTAGATTTGTTATGTGTGATTAGCTTTAGAGGAAGAGCTGACTGAGGTAGTCAAGCTGATTTGTAAAGTTCTCACTTGGTAATTAATCAAATGGATAGTTACCAAAAAAAAGATGTAGGTCCTTTTGGGTTTTGCTGTTAGTCCGTTTCAAGTCTATTATTGTAAACTAATGGAGATAAGTTTGCCAATAGAGCACCAATTTTCCAAGCTGCTCTTTGGTATCAAGATAGATTAAATATTAATATATGATTGCGTGACGGAAAAAGGGATATTAGTTCATATTTTCATATTTGTGTGCAATTTGCAGCTAAAATCATATTTTCATTTTACGATCATTTCAATCATTTTTCACATTGACGCTCTCTCCTTCTATTTCATATTAATATGATTGAAGAAGTAACTGATTACATTCATTATTGGTAGATCATAAAACCACTTGTACATGACATTTTGGAGATGAAAGTGGGAAGAAACAACGCGTAGGAAAGATGATAGTGGGAAGGAAGGGGAGGGGAGGGGATGGAGGATTTGGTGGGATGTGGAACATGCCATAACTCCTACTTAGCAGGTACAAATCTTATTATAGCCTATTCATTTGCCAACCATCGGATTAAGATTGACCGCAGCAGACCATTTTTGTAAAGGAAACCGTAAAGATGTTTCCTTGGGATCGAAATAAGGACGTCTAGTGGCCCTATCCATCAATAATCCTGCTTGAGACAAGGTAATTGAATAGATCAACAGTGTTTTTTTTCTCCTTTTTTTGTGCTTGATGTCAAGTACATGCATGCATCTGACCATGATAACAACTATTGTTACCAAGTCTTAAAGAAAAACGTGTAGTTCTCACATTCGCTGAAGTTCATATGTATCCAACAATCTAAACTTTAGGTATTGAGAATACAGCAAGGTTCAGAGATGCTGCTGCTCCCCTTAGTAATAAATGGTCTCAATATACTCTTCGAAAGATGATAGAAAAAAATTTGAGCATCTAAAGGCTTTTGAACTTAAATCAGGTTCTTAGCAAGCCTGTTCAGAATACGAACTTATTTGGCCTTATATATGCTGAAATGTAACAATCCAGTGGCACTGGATTGTTACATTTCAGCATACTGGACCTGTGCCTTTCAGATTACTGGATACTGAATCACTAGTTATGCTCTATTGCCTGAGTATTTTGAGCATGAAATCCATTAAGGACAATTTGCTGTTTTGCCTAGCCTGGCCACTAGCTTTATAACTTCGAGAATTAGTTAGGGACCATGTAAGCATTGTACACTGATGCTAAGAAAAAGCCTGGAATCTTGGAACATTTCTTTTATGTTAGATGTCCTTATTGTTTAGTTTAAATTACCCACTGTCCTTTCATATATCAGTCTTACCTCAGGGCCTTCAGATCTACGTACCTCCTCTTAGCTTTTCTATGATTTATTTAGTCTGACTTTGATGAAATCTCCTTGATTGGTGATTGTTGAACGCGATTACTCTGTCCTACTGGTACCTCTTTTTTCCTTCTGGAACACTGAAACTGCAGTAGTCTTATTCAGAATCTTTCTGTGTTAAATTGTTAAAAGTTCTGCCCAGGGCTCTGGTCTAGTGGTAAGACAGCATGTGATATGTGGGTTAAGCATACGCCATGCGTTTGAACCTTGTCGCAGATAAAAGCCTGGAATTTAAGTATAGAAGGGTAGAGGAGCGGACCCATTATCCACCGAGTTTCGAACTGTGCTTGTAAATTTCTCTGTTATCAAACAAATGTTGTTGAAAGTTCTTGAACATGGAACCCATGGCTACATTTGGGTTTGTTTGTTTCCCTAAAACCAAGAAAATGTAAAAAATTTGGTTCTTGTTTCTATAATTTCTATGGGATGTTTTCATTGCTGATGCTTTCATTTGCTTTCAAATTAATATATAACATGCATTCATTTGTATAGGCTATCATTTAGAAGCCTTAACTTGTTGACTTGGCAAATAAGTGTTTTGGAATTAACTGTCAAATTGTACTAAAAAGTCAATAAATATAGAGAAGTGTATTCTTCAACGAATGTGCTGAATCTGGTCATCTTTCAGAGAAGGCATGTTGTAGATTTTTCTTGATCTCCTTCAGCTTGTCTATATATCCCTATGTTATCTGGATCCTTTACCTACCTTGGCCTACCGGCTACCAGTGCCAAGAAGATGTGATAATGGTATAGGTACTTTGTGTGGATCCTTCAAAACATAAACTTGACATACTCGTATTAGATACAAGTATCCTCTTTTACACACACTACCTGACACGTACCTATAAATGAATCCTTGTAACATATAGATGTATCCTCTTTCACAGTCCAGAGAACTTGAAAACTTCTCATCTGTCGCGTACTGACTTCTTGCAGGTTTAAAGGATTAACAGCATGGAGCGGAGCGCAATGTTTTCCTAGCACAGAGGGATCAATGTACAACTAATAGCATTGGCCTTTGTTTTTGCCTTCCCACAGAGTTCTGTTGACTTACTTGTTTAACCAATAGGGAAATCCCCC